GCTGCTGGAATTCAGTCTCTTTGGAGGGTCCTTCTGGCAGGGATGGGGAGGATAATGCTCTGTATGTGTCCAACACATTGCAGTTATTCCCAGATATTCCTTTGGACACAGCAAGGACTGACTCAGCCTCCCTGTGCTTTGCAAAGCACTGGAGAGCTGGTTTTGCTTGGGAATGTGCCTAAATCCCATGTGAAACTGTGATCCATAGGAGGAAGGACACATTCCTGGGATGGAATATCCATCTCCAGCTCCCCAGTAACATCACCCAATTCCCAGCTTTACTGGTGGGGTGGTTCTTTGGGATGCTGGAACATGGGAATGTGGGATCTGAGCAGCAGGTTTGTGTCCTGGGATCCATCTGCATTCCAGGGGGTGTTTTATCCATCCTTTCTGCTCTTTTCCCGGGGCTGAGGGCAGGAAGGGGGGCTGGGCTGGGGCTGGGGCTCAGTTTCTGTGACGTCCTCGGCTGAAATGTCAGAGCAGCGTCTCCTTCGGGCTGTTTGTTGGGGCCCGCGTGGCATCCCGACATAATAGCCCTAAAAATAGGGGGCTGACATTCCTAGCGGATCCTTGGGGAGGGGGTGGGAACCAGGCTTAGTGTTTGGGGCTATAAATAAGTTTGCCTGGGACTGGGAGCTGGCAGAGCCTCCCCAGGTGATGAATCAGTGGGGTTTGAACGCCGTGACCTGCCCAGAACTGACGTCCTCGGATTCCAGACCCAGCTGCCTGTGGAGAGCTCGTGCCTTTGGGTTGTTGTAGTGCTTCTGGCGCTTGCCCGCCGAGTCAGCTCCTAATTTTATCTCCTTATCCCCAGCGTGACACAGCAGTGGGAAGGGAATGACATCACATCAGCAAGGATTTGATTTTAATTAAAAATGAGCCATGCCAAGGTGCTCCTGCTTTTAAATGGGAGCAGTGATCCCTGTCACGAGCTGAGAGGCTGCTCAGGCTGGGGCTGTGTCTGCACGTGGTGTTCAAACACCTCCAGGCTGCAATTCCAAAAATCCTTGGAGTAAACACTGAGAATGTCCTGAGGAATAGGGGGTCTGTCCTTGCAGTTAATAGGAAACACAACTTGTGCCCTGTCAGGAGGTGTGTGAGGTGAGGAGCTGCTCTTTGACCATCTGGTTAAACACAAAGGGAGACCTTTTCTGCCCAAAAGTTCA